TCTTCAGTATCATGTATTTATACTTTAAACTCAGGTTTTTATTCTTCAGTATCATGTATTTATACTTTAAACTCAGGTTTTTATACTTTAAAATCATGATTTTATACTTTAAACTCAGATTTTTACACTTTAAACTCAAGTCTTTATATTTATTAACTCATGTTTTTATATCTTTTTACACTTTAAACTCAGGTTTTTACATGTTAAACTCAGGTTTTTACACTTTAAACTCAGGTTTTTATTCTTTAGTATCATGTATTTATACTTTAAACTCATGTTTTTACACTTTTCTGTCCCTTCTTCAAGTGAAATGTTGAGGAGTGATCAGCTGACGTGGGTTTAAACATGTGCAGTTGTTGGTGGACACCGTGATGAAGACAGTTTTCCTCCTTCGTGTCCTGGTCCTGCTGAGGACAGACACCCAGTCGTGTTTTCAGTCTCGACCTGAGTCGAGCAGCAGGACGTCTGAAAAATGAACCTTCTGTTGATAAAATCGGGGCGGATCTAAACTGGAGTATTTCTCTTTAATAAAGTCCCAGGAGCTGCAGCAGCTCAGCTGTTTGAGGAAGTTTCTGTTTGTTTTACTTCTTGTTTCTGATCCAACAGAAGAAAACGAGTCAGCGTGACCTCCGATTGGTTCTGACCCATATGAAGGTGGAAAAACCAACAGAGGCTGATAAAGAAACGCCTCATCAGTAAACAAGTTTCAAACAGCTGGACTCGTCAGGTTTTACTGTTTTATTTTAGATGAAAGTTTAAACTGTTTCCTGTTTGTCTTTAAGGAATGTAACCTGAATGAGGGTCACAGCACCCACATGAAGCCGGTTCTGGTTCGGATCCGGGTCTCCTGCTCGAGTTTTTAAACATGTTTAACTTTCTGTTTATTTTCAAGTTGAAGACGAACTTCCTGTCAGATGGGAGGAGTGAAGGGAGGGGCTGGAGAACGGGCTACAGAAACCTTACAGGATCTGACTCCCCCTGCTGGTCAAACAGAGAAATACAAAATAAAAACAAAGCTCAGGTTCTTGTTTTATTCTCTGTAAGATGGAGGCGCGTCAGTCTGAGTGCTTCCAGATATGGAGCTAAACTTTAGCTTGGTCGTAGCTGAAGCTGAGCTCTGATTGGCTGCAGGTGATGTCATTCCTTCAGGTAAAAACATCAAACATGATTCAGTTTTTGAAATTTTCAGTCCACTCTGTTTGTTTCTGCCTCCCTCTCCTCCTGTCTCCTCCTCTCCTGCTCCTCCTCCTGCAGCTCCTCCTGCTCCCTGCTGTCAGCCTCCTTCAGCTTCTCCTCCACGTCCTCCGGGATCTCCACCTCCATCAGGTTCTCCATGCCCTGCTCCGGCTCATCTCCGATCAGCACCTGGAGGGACCGAGAACCTGAACTAAAACACCTCGAAGCAGCCGGTCCGATCTGGACCCAAGACCTGGACCAGATCCTTCAGGTCCTGACAGGTGTTTGTCTCACCTGGACGAGCTTCTCGCAGGCCGCCCTGACGTGAGCGTCCTTCTCCCAGCGGTGGAACTCCCTCATGATGGGATAAACGTTCTTCTCCTTCAGCGTCTGGCGACCGGATCGAGTCGCGGTCAGCTGACGAGAGAGAGGAGGAGGGGGCGGAGCTTCAGGTGAGAGCACAGCTGTGTGTGCACGCATGTGTGTGTGTGTGTGTGTGCGCTCAGTACCAGTAAGAGTGTCTCCAGCAGCATCTTCCTGATGTCGGGGTCCTCCTCCCTCTTCTTGTCCTCTGGCAGGTACTGCAGGTCCACAGGAAGACCTGAACCACAGACCAGCTCCAGCTCAGTCTCTTTATTTCTGCTGCTTTTAAAAACCTTTTCAGACTAAAAATCAAAGCCGCAAACAGAAACTGGATCTTAAAAATCTCTGAAGTTTTCTGAAATGGTTTGTGAGAACAGAGCGCTCCACCTCAGATGGTTTGAAAAAGAAGATTTTCACAAACAAGATGGTCACAAAATGAGAGAGAAATCAGTCAAACTGCAGAGAATTCACTGATTTCATAAACTTTGAGTCTCCAACAGTCACAGCTCAGAGAGAAAAACACAACACAACACACAAAACCTAAAACACAACAAAACACAAATAAAATAAAACAAAACATAAAACAAAACACAACAAATTAAAAACTAAACAAAAAAACAAGACAAAATGAATCAAAAAACAAAACAAGACAAATAACACAAGACAACACACAAAAAAATAAATAAAACAAAACTAAACTAAACAAGACAAATAAACACAAGGCACAAAAAAACAAAACAAAACTAAATTAAACTAAACTAAACAAAAAACAAGACAAAATGAAACTAAATTAAAAACAAGGCAAAACAAACAAAATAAAACAAAACGTAAAACAAAACTAACCTAAACAAAATTAAACTCAACTAAACTAAATTAAACTAAACTAAAATAAAAACAAGACAAAATGAAGCACAGCAAAACAATAAAATAAAATAAAACAAAACATAAAGCTAAACTAAATTAAACTAAACTCAAATAAATTAAACTAAAAACAAGGCAAAACAAGCAAAATAAAATAAAACAAAACAAGACAAAAAACACAAAAGACAAAACCAAAACCAACATTTCTGCACAGTTTCTGTCACTTTCTGACACAATGGGCCTCAAGCAAGAACATGTTCGTCTTCTTCTCCTAAATTTCTCTTACTTTTGTTCGTACAAAGGGTTCGTACGAACATGTCACGTCAGATTCAACAAACTCTTCTATCTTCAGGAAAAGTGTGTAAATGAGCTGCGTAAATTCACCTGTTCTATCCAGCTGCTCGTGCACGCGAGAGGAGATTAGCATAATTACCACCCCAAAAACACCATATAAGGCTATGCCTCAGATACATGGAAGTGATCATTCATTCATGAAAATTACAGCGAAAACTGAAAAAATAAAAACTTTATGAGTTCAGAGATTGAAGTCCGTCTGTCAGAGATCCAGAAAAGAAAATCTGTCATTTTTAGCAGGTCAGCTGTGGGATAAAAAGAGCTGCTAAAAGTATAAACAACTGTGTTAAATCATTTTCATTAATTCAGAAGCCGCAGCGCTGCACACCGTGCCCCCCCCACCCCAGCGCACTGCGCAGGTGGTCTCAGATGCGGGTTTGAAATAAGCATTTTAAAATGTTTTCAAAATAAGTCTGGCACTTTGGAGGAAATCCTGGACTTGATCATATATCCCCTCTGGCCTGGGAACGTCTTAAGTCCCCCAGGACGAGCTGGAAAGTGTCGCTGGGGAGAGCGGGGTCTTTCTCAAGTTTATATAAGAATCTTTATAAAGATCTTAAATCTTCCAGAACAGTTTATGTTTAAAAGATCATAAAAACCTGGTTTCTTACAGACGTGCAGGAAGAACTGAGATAAAATCATTTCAATAAGATGTGAACAAACTGAAACTTTTTATCTGTAAATATTAACTGTTCCAGCTGGAGTCTGATAATTATTAATGTTTGAATTTATAAAAAAAGAGATCAGATAAAATGATTGTTTTTCTTCTCTCTGCTCCCTTTCATCCATGATTTGTGTGTTTTTATTTTTATTGTATAAATATTGTTTTGTTTTAAATAAATAAAGCTTTTCTGGTTTAACAGTTTGTCACTGACGGGTTTTTAACCTGGTTAAATGAGCTGATCAAACACTCAGATTAAAGGCTGACAGCAGCTGAAAGCAGCTGAACTTTAGCTGAGTTCAGAGTTTCTGCTCAGACCTTCTTCATTCTGATAAACGAGCAGAGCTCAGACTCACCTTCGTTCTCCTCCTCGCTCAGCTCCTCCCCTCCGGCCAGCGGCAGCAGCAGGAAGGGCAGGATGTCCACGGCCTCGCTCAGCAGGAAGTCGTGATGAGCTGCGGACAAACAGGAAGTGATGTCAGCGATGATCAGAGCAGTAGTGGAGGATGGAGGAGGCAGCGTCATGATGCGGGGGCACTTTCAGCAGCAGGAACCTGAAGCTGGGATTATCTTTAATCTGAGGGGTAATCTGATTTATTTTCAGTAAAGTCGACTCCTCACTGTGGTCGAAGCAGCAGTTCCGCAGCGTTCCGATGACTCCGCCCCTTCTCACCAGCGACGCCTCGTACTGAGTGAAGGGCAACAACCTCTGGATGACACACCTGAGACACACGAGTCGTGGAGTTCACTCAGACCAGATTATTTGTGATAATTTAATCTGAAGACGAGCCTGTACCTGTCCCGGTCCATCATGCAGGCTCTGGCCTCGGGGAGCTGGGTCAGGTTGGACAGCAGAGGACCCAGGTAGTGCAGGTTGGCCTTCTGGTTGAAGCCTTCGCTGCAGAAGATCTCCACCAGCTGGACCAGACCCACGTCCTCCTGCAGGACCTGGGGGGGCGCAGAAAAACCCGTCGGGTCAGAACCCCCTCCAGACGTCAGGGAAGCAACATAAACGAGAGGAAAGGACAACCTGGAAGACGGCCCTGCAGGTCCTCTGGTGGCGGGTCAGGTTGGACAGGATGGTGCAGATCTGATCCGAGAACTGGCACTCTGGATCCACCAGGTTCTGCAGCAGAACCGGGACGACGTGGACCTCCTTCACCAGAATCTGGGAGACAGCAAGCATCAAAGCCCAGGGACCAGCTGGGAGAGGCGTGGTGCGTTCACTGACCCAGAGGTTCTGATCCGAGCTGGCTCACCTGGTGCAGAGTCTCATCAGCTGACAGGTTGATGAGGGCCAGGTAACAGGTCTTCACCATGGCAACGCAGGGGTCAGAGGTCAGCGCCAACAGGGAGGCCATCAGGTCCGGTTTGGTTCGGAGGAACCGGCACCCATCTCTGACAAACAAACAAACAAACCAACAAACAAACAAACAAACAAACAAACAAACAAACAAACAAACAAACAAACAAACAAACAGTGACACTCTGAGTAAACAACAGATCTAGTCCAGATGAGACAATAATCTGTGAGTCAGGATCAGCTGAGTCCTGGTCCAGGTCTCACCTGTGACCCGACAGTCCCAGAATATAATCCGTGGCCTTGGCCTTGACGTCAGCTCTGGTCCCGGGGCTCAGGAAGGACCGCAGCTCTGCAGCTTCTGAGTCACTGAGCATCTTTAAAACCTGCCTGAGAAACAACAAATGACACTTTAATAACTGTGAAGTTAATCAAATAATCTTTATAAATAAAATAACAAAAATAAAAGTGAAGGGATTTTAATGTTTCTCTTAAAATTCGGTCAAAAGAAAAGAAAAACGCGACAAAAATTTGATGCAAATAAAAAATGAAATCGGGAAAAATATTTCTCTTAATCTATAACTTATCACAATAAACTAATAATTTACAACATATTCCACTGGTTCAAAAAAGACGCTCATCTAATGATCTGTGGGTTTTATGTTGAACAGAAGAAGAACTCGCGCGTTTTAAAACGATTTATTTTAATGTTTATTGTATAAATAAACTCACCTTTAACTGTCTGTAAAACTCCTCCAGTTTTCATTCTTCACTCATTTATCCTGTAGATATTGCCCATTTAAATTAGACAACGTTTACTAAATAAACATGTGCAAACAAACATGGAGCAACTCACTTCCGGGTTTTTTCTTCTTCGGTTTTTTTCCCGATAGATTGAGCCTCTGTGTTAGTTTAGCGCCCCCTGGTGTTTGAATGCAGGTCTTGTTTTTATGGAGTGTGGCTGCTTTTTGTTTTGATTTCTTTGAATCAATGAAAAATTATTATAATCACGAATTTAACCGATTTTTTTATTCAATAAGAACAAAAATATTACGTCATCTTGTGGTTTTTGTTGGAACTGTATGGAGGACCAAACCTATCATTATTGGAAATAAATGTATAAATATATAAC